TGTTGTGCAGATGTGCAGGAAGAGGGAGGACGCATGAGGGGAGAGGACTGCTCTGGAAAACTAAGATGCTAAAGAAGCAAAAATAAACATTTCCTGATTTTCTAACAACAGTGTATCAACCATGTAGAAGGCAGTGGAAATCAAGTGTTCATATAGAGCATAACCGCACACATGTTAACGGTGCAGACTGAAGGGAGACATTTCAGAAGACTGCTTTCTTTGTAAGTTAATTCACAGAGAAAAAAAGCTTAAAAATTAGAATTAAACATCTTTACCTAACAACTGAACTAACTTCCATATTCTTAACAACTATGGAATTATTCATTTCAGACATAAATGTGCCAGACCTGCAAACAACATCTTAAAACAAGAAAACATGCTTTCTCAATCAAACCAGCGTCTAAATGTTATTCATGCAGATATGGCTAAAAGGTGGATATAGCGCTTCACAGTATGATTTTTAAAATTACTTATTACTATTTTTTAGTTGCATTAAGTTTCCCAAATATAAGGACAAGCCTCAACCATACTTCATAGCAGACCCTATTGGTTCTCCTCAACAACTACCTCGCTTCCTCTTGCCAGGAGAGTCTCCATGTGTTCAGAGGTTAATCTGGATTAATCTAGGCAATCGTGGTAACTGCATTCCTTTCCAGAGAGTGCCAGGAAGAAACGTGATCCAGTCTTGCCAATGAAATGCTGGAGGACGTCTGTGGGGGAATTCCGGGAAGGTTTCCTTGCTCTTGCAATGGGACATACATGAAGAGGTCCCTCTCTTTCTTCTGCAGGTTGTTCTAACTCCATGCGAAGCCTGGAATAACCACCAGCCTAAGGATTAAAGCCACACTTAGAGAACAGAGGAGCCAACAGAGGAGCCGAGAAATAGAGCTGTGCTGTGTTGGAGCCTGACTCCTTATAATATGAACAACACATCTCCTTATTGCTTCAGTCATTTTGAATTGAGTTTTCTATTCTTTGACATCAAAACCATCCTAACTGATCCCAGCCACATTCATACCCAAGTTCACAATTACCATTTGTTTTCTCTTCCAAATTTTCCACAGGCATCTTTATTTTCACAGTTAGCCATAATGTATATAAGTTTTGTTATCCTTCTTTTTCCCCTTATCATAAGCATTTTTCCATTTCTTCTTAAAAAAAAATCTTCACACTAGTAGAGTCAGATAATGCCCCAAATCCAAGTATTTTACATCTGCCTTAGCCTGAAAAGCAGATTGAGCTCAATATTTAAAATCTAGTCAGGAAATGTATCAAATTTGGTATTGCTAATAAATATTTTTCAGCACTTGCTACATAGAATCAAGACGCAGCATTTTAAAAAACAGGGACAGCTTTCAGCCAACTTTTTAATTAACATTCACTTCAAACACCAGATGGACTTCAAAGAGTACAGCCTGTAAACAACAGTACTCGTCCCACAAGCCCGATATCACTATTGAATCAGGAGATTTGGGTGGGTAGGTGCATATGAACAGATTAGCATGACATGACAAAAAGTCAGGTCTACGAATCATTCTTTCTGATATATCTTAATTATTAGAGCATTATCATTTATTGTACCTGTTTTAGCCATCAGTCATCAGTCACCTATGAGTTCTACTTGCCTGCTTGTAACAAAGAGGAGTTCCTAGCACACACCAGGCAAGTTGCCCCATCTGCCATGCCAACGGGAAACTGGAAAAGTGATTTCCCTTCCTAGTCAGGAAGCTCTAAATCATTGCAAGTATTGTTGGGCAGACTCAGTTGCCTGTTAATTCGTCCTGTAGAAATGGGAAAATAACCTGGCTCACATTCAGTTAGTAATCATATTCTGGTGAACTAGGTTGTTCCTATTCCACACTGGTCACATAAGAACCAGTGGTGCCATTTTCTAAAACCACACAAAAAGACATGCCTTACGCTTGATCCTAAACCTAGCAGGGTTAAGTCACACAATGGTGGACTCAGTTGGTGGACATGATCACCTACCACTATACATTTTAGGTGGGTTCTGATACCCTCCCATGGTTTTCCCTGGCTGTGACAAAGGGTCTTCAGCATCCAAATCACCTTGACTGCTCATCAGAAATGCACATTCCTGAGCCAGATCTAAGGATTACTTAATCAGGGCCTCTTAAGGCTAGAGCCCAGGTATCTGCATTTTAACAAGTGATTCTAATGCCCATTATGAGAACTAACTCCCTGGGCTGATTCAGGGTGTTCCAATCTCCAGAATGATTCTTTATTACTAATTTGCGAGTTTCATACAACCAGGGCCCAGGCATCAGCTTTCTCGTTCTCAGACACCTGAGCCACTGCAGTCTCTATGCCCTGCCCTAGCTCTCCTGAGGTCCCCCTACCGGCCCTTCAACTAGGCTTCAACCAATTCTCCACTTTGGAGGCACCAACTTCCTCATTTCTCATGATGCATCTGGATATGTGACTCTCGTCTCCAGTTTATTTTCTAAAAGAGGGATCTCATTACTATACATTTTTTTTTTCCTTTTGTCCTAGTTGTTTTTGGTAAAGAAGAAAAAACAAAAGAAAACCTAGGTATTTTCAAAACATAAGAGATTAGAAATCATGTGCTTTGGACCAAACATAATTCCCTTTCTCCTTCCTTTTAGACTAGTCCTTAAGCTACTAAAATAGGATCATTAGACAGCACAGATATTTCTACATGTTTATATAATTAAAGAACTAGAGCAAAATGAGCTGTGAAGTGAAAATTTGCACTACCTTATAATGCTGCTATGAGAATTAAATGAGAAAACTAATATATAAAATGATCAGCCCAGCATCCAACACAGAGTGAATGCTCGATAAATCCTAGCTGTTATTATCAGGCCAGGTTGTTTTGGTACATGCTCAGAGCTGGAAAAGTCCTTCAAATTAATCTATTCAAAAACTGCTTTTCTCCAGAGAAGCAAACCAAAGCTCTGGGAGTTAAGAGTCTTACCCTACACTGCATAGCTACTGGCAGAGCCAAAACAGACACTAGTGTTTTCTAAAGCACAGTGTTTTCTAAACAGTGTTTCCCCACTCCACGATGGCTTTGTGCACCCTCCTAAGTGAAATGTAGGACCACGAAAGCCATAAGGTTCAGAATACACCAGTCATCTTGAAGGTATGATTTACATCCAGTCAGAACATGAGGAGTAAATGACAGAATGGGTTATCAAGACTGAGTCTTCGAAAGTAATTAAATTACTACATAGCAGTAGTAATTTAAGGAAGCAGATTGCTTCCTTGCTGTTTTGTTTTGTTTGTTTGTTTGGAGGGGTGGGGGCATTTATCTCCCATCTTGGGGGGTTTCTTTTGTTTCTCTTGTGTTCAATCACTTTACTCCAGGAAGTACGCACTATTACATAGTGTTTGGAATTTTGTCTGGTGAGAATTAGCTATGAACATAAGGGCATCACAAAGAGTGTGTGCTGCTGTTACATTTAAATTTCTATTCAGCACAAGGGGGAGGGAGGAATCAAAGGACAGGCTACTCTCCTCATTTGGAATATAAAGTTAAAGGAGTTATGTGTTAGAAAGAGAGCAATAGATCACTGTAGTGTTTTAACTTTGAATTCCATTTTTTTCTTTTACTCTCTGTATGTATAGAATAGGAAATATGAAATATAATAACAAGAAAGTGAAAAAACTGTCAATGTCTGCTAAACTTGAGATGTTACTACAGTAAATAATCTCTTAGAATAAATTATGAGACAAAGCAAGGGCTCTTTACTTGATATCACCTCAAATTTTTTGTAGCCACATTGGCATTCTGTTCATGAAACTCAAGTATAGCGATGACTTCATTCTCCAGGATGAAGGATAATTGATGTTCACCTTCCTATCCTCCTTTAACTCAAAGCACTAATGCAATTGAAGGCACAGAGAAATAAAAATTTCTGTAGGAAAAGAACAGCACTGTGAAGCTAACCTCCAAATCACCTCCAAAGGGTACAAAGTACAACATATTTCAGAATCCCAATTCAGGAAACCCCACAGCTCGGATGGAGAGCTGCCAAAAAATTTTGAAGGAAAATTCAAGCTTTGAAGGACATAAGGTTTTTCTTCCTCAGCTATTAAAGAAGGGAAAAAAACCATAATATTAAACAAACCCAGCAATTCAAACCGAAGCACTGCTCCAAGGCAGATTTTCACTTACATTAAAATCTATTAATGTGATGCTTTTATTACCACAAAACCACATCTTACCAACTTTATCTCTTTACCAACTAATCATGATTCTCCACAAATAACATATACAGCTAAAGAACAGCATTCTTGAAAACTGCACTGGACTATATCAAGTTGATTCTTCCTAAAACAGTTACCATTCCTATCTCTTATCCCTTTCTTTTTTCTTCACTCACTGATGATATTTACCACACTGTGCCCCAGAATGTGAACATCATTTTGACAAGTTGTATTTTGGCCCGGAAATTTTGTCATGCTTTTTCAAGTAGAGGTCAATGGTGGCAGTAAGGCAAAAATTTTACCACATTTTTCCAAGTCGGGGTCTATGGGGAGGGGGAAGGGTTATTGGCTGTCACATTAGATTTAATACTTCTTTTTCCAAAACAAGTCAATAGAAATGATCTCCCCCTTTGCTTTGCCTCTTTTACATATATATGGTAACGTCCTCAAGGCAAGCTGATCTAGAGAACACACATCCCCTCATCGCGCGCGGGCGCACACACACACATACACACACACACAGTGGCCAGAGGCAAGACCGTATCCAGGAACCCAGAGCGCCGCACCTTGCAGAGAAACTATCACCCCTGACAACCTTCACACACCCAGCACGCCTTGCTAATTTCAAGTCAAGATACCCACGTAGTTCACTAGTAACGCAGTGGCGGCCCACCATCACACCGGGCAGTGCAAGCCCGCGAGCCCACACCCTCTCCCTCTCTCTTGAAGGAACACCTACCGCCCTCTCCGAGCCAGGCCGGCTCCCTGCCCGGCCCGAGTCGCCGCCGCTGTCCCGGGTCACTCACCGTGTCTGCAGTCGCAGTAGCCCCAGTCCACCCTGCCGTGGGCGTTCCCATAGAAGCACCAGGGTCTGCCCGCGCCGTCGGGGCTCCGGCAGAAGTTGTGGCGCTGCCCTCGCAGTTGAGCCCAGTCCGCCGGGGGCGACCGCTGGAGGAAGGGTGGCACCTCCGCCCAGCGCAGACAAGGGGCGCCGAAGTCCGTCACGTTGACCCAGGACTCGCCGGCCGGGCAGCCCCCGGGGTGCGGGCCGGGCGTGCGCCCCGCGTGGAGGGCGTGCGGGCGCTGGGCAGGGAGAGCAGGCGGGGGGCGCAGGACGCGCGCCAGACGGGGCGGCGGAGGTGGCCTCTGTTGCCGCTGCTGGGTGGGAAGGTAATAAGGGTACTGGGGACCCGGAGGGGGCGAATGGCGAAGGCGGTGGTGGAAGGGATAATTGGGGACCGGATCAAAGCTGACCACTTCGGGGAGCGCCCCTAAAATCAGAGCCACGGCGAGGCGGGCGAGCGTCATGGTGCCCGAGCAGCGGGGTTTGGTCCATGCTCCCCCGCTCCTCGGCTTCTGAAGGGGAGGAGAGGAGGGGGCGGGGGCGGGGCGGCAGCCTCCCTCGGATCCCCCACGCGAGCCCCCTCCGCCCCCCGCGCGCCGACCTCCTTCCCTTCCCCACCTCGCCCCCCGCCGCGGTCCCCCGCCGCGCCCCTGCGCCCCGCCGCGCGGGCGGTGCGATCCCGAACCCCGCTGAGCCCCGGAGGGCGAAGGGGACCCTTACAGAGAAGGCGCGGACCGGCCGGCGGCGGTGGGGCCCGAGCTCCAGGTAGCCGGCGATGGCCCGAGCCCGGAACTCTGCCCCCTGGCTGCGGGCGCGGGGCGCGCAGTCTCGTCCCGGACCAGACCTCCGCTCGGCCCCTACCCGGCTCCCGGCTGCCAGCCCGCCCGGCCTGGCCAGACCAGCCGCTGGCACCGCCGCGGCCTCGCTGTGCCCAAGCCAAGCCCGAGGATGCCAGTGCGGGGGACGGTCTCGGCTGCCCCTCGCCAGCGGGCAACACCACCACAGCCCCGCGGCTGGCGGCTCCCAACAAGCCTGGCACCTGTCCCTGCACCATCTCTCCTCCACCCCGGTGCCGCGTTTCCCTTCTACGTTTTGAAATCTTCAGAAGAAAACTGAGGGTGGATTTAGTGGCAACTCTCTCCTGACAAGTCCCGGGATAAAAGTCACCGAAGCCCACGAGGAATGCTGAAGCCGTTTTACTGAACCGTGAGCTCTTCAAGGACAAGCCCACGTTTCATTAGGCTTTATATCCCACTGCTTAACACCCAGCCCCACACTTATTAGGCTGCAATAAACATTTGCTGAAATTAAATTCCTGACCCGACCAGGGAAAGGAGTTGGAGGCATTCTGCTTCCTGCCTCCTACTTTCCACCCGGTGCCCTGGACAACACCAGTTGTTTGGTTATTACTGGGATTCAGTGAGGTCCTCTTAATACCAAATTTCCTTTCTAACCAGAGAAGACTTCATCCGTCTGGGTCTCCATCCTATCCAAACAGTCCGTCCCTCTAACACCTGCCTGGTTTTTGCAGGGCAGGGGACTCGAGTTAAGCCGACTCATTTGCCTCTCCAAAGTGGACTCTGCCTGCAGGCGGTTTTGTAGCTGCGCTGTGGCTGGACCTCAGTTTAGTAGAGCCCTTTCAACGGCCCTGCCACCTCCCCCCAAGAAAGTTGGCTTAGAGTTTAAAAAATCACTGGATCTGGATGGAGGCTTTAGGATTTCCATTTTCAGTGAGTGGTTCCTAACCATGCCACTGAAGTTACACAAGGAAAAGGCAGGCTATAAAGAAGGTGATGTTTTACTTTCTGGTGTCATCATGTTTCAGTGTGGGGGAGGACTACTGTCCCATGATAGAAGGTACCCTGAAGAAAACCTGAGCATAACTTAAATGTTTACTGTTAAAACCCAGGTTTCATTTAGAAAACACATTAATTCCCTACACCTTAGCTCAAATAATCCGTCTTAGTTTAACTTTTGCGAATCATCTTACTGGTTTTTTATTTTTCCACTTCTATTAATGAAATATTTGATTTCATTTCAGAGATAATTGGGTCAATGAATGATATTAGGAATCCAGGAATATATTTGTCAAATATTTATTCAAGGTGTTTTTATTCAAATGCTTGTACTCACTATTTTGGTTTTTTACTAGTACTTCTCTGGCTCCAAAAGCATAGTTAAAACTGTACTTAGGGAAGAGAGTGAAAGACAAAATACATATCTGGGGGAGATTGATTTACTTATTTTAGTAGAGGTCGACAGAGTTCACCAATCACAGATTCTATTTTTTTGTAATTGAAGAATAACTGACATACAATATTACGTTGGTTTCAGGTGTACAATATAGTGATTTGATATTTTTACACATTACGAAATGATCACACTAAGTCTGGTTACTGTCACCATACATTATTACAATATTGACTGTATTCCCTGTGCTGTATGTTACATCCCCATGACTTATTTCTTTTATAACTAGAAGTTTTTACCTCTTAATTCCCTTCACCTATTTCACTAATCCCACCCCACCCTACCCCCGCTCCCCTCTGGCATCTACTAGTTTGTTCTCTGTATCTATACGTCTGTTTCTGTTTCAATCACAGATTCTTGATATAATAGGTGACAATTCTAACAGGAGTCACGCTTTTCCTTTCCAACAGTCTCTCCACCTTCTGCCACCAGACTTGATGGCCCCCAGGAAGGCTCATCTTGGGATTCTGGCTGGCGTGTTTGGACCGTGTTCCCCTTCCCTAGACAGCATGGCTCCTATACCGTTGCTTTCACACTTCCTGGGGGTCTGTGGATAGACCCAGTTCCCACACTTTCATGTACCGTGAAGAGAGGGAAAAATGAGAGACAAGTGAGTAGAAGAGAAGATTGTTGGAACTGAGCTCTGAGAGGTGGGACCCTTGGGCAGGCTGGCCTCTCCTCTAGCCCCTTGCACTACCTAAGAGGAGCTGAAGATTTTCTGAGGCCTACTTATAGTTAACAGATTATAAAGCTGACACATACAAAGTGGAGTTACCCACAGAAAATTCCACATCTGGATCTAATCATTTCAGTTTAAAAACACAGCTTTCTTAGAAAATAAAATGGCACTTATGTAGTTAGACTATGAGTTTAGGGGCCTCCATTTGGGTTTTGCCCTCTATTTTACAGGAAAAGTCTGATTCAAAAGACCTGTTCTTTACATATTACTCCCCTCCTCCACTAATATTTTCCTTCCCTTTCTTCTTTCATTCCTCCTTGCTGCTACCAACATGCAGATGTTTAGGATTTCCTATTCCCAATGCAATCCCCAAAATGCATTCTCCCTCCCACCTCCATCACATCACAGTGTGTGTTGAGGGGGAGGGGATAGTTGCAGGGAGAAATCCTCTTCTTCTGCATTGATTAGGCCCCTACCTAGCCACAGTTCCCACTTCAGATTCTTGTCATCCTCTCTCACAGATAGCAAAGCCAGAGAAAAGGTGGAGGCAACTCCACCTTGTTACAACTCCAAGAACCCCACTGCTGATCTTCCAATCCTTTCAGCAGTAACAAAGGAGCAAAGAAAGGGAACAGGGAGAAACACAAGTCATCTTGCAGGCATTTCCCACCACAATACTTAGAAGGCCCCAGGATGCCCCCATTATCCTTCTTGTCACTTCTGCCACCTCCCATTACATCAAGCAACCTCATTGATTTGGGGCCCAAGAACTCAACTCTCCCCAGCCTCACAGCCTAAAACCTAGGCAAGTGAAGAGCGGAGTCTCCCTGCCCACATCACAGCAGGGAGGGTGGGCAGGCTTGGGGGTGGAGGTAGGGTACATGTATACATATCTGCCAATCTGCACTTTCCCATGGCAACTGTGTTACATATGAACATTCGGTTTTACGGTGGTTTTGGGGATCATTTTACTTCACATACATGATGAGCTGAGTAGTTCTTGGGTAGTCTGTTTTGGAAATATAACCAATATGCATATTATCTTTACAGCATTCCAAAAACCAATACATCAAATAACTTTTGGAAAAGTTCCATTTACAGTTTGGGTACTGTCTGTATCTGGAAAAGCTAAGAGCTTTTAAACATATGACATAAAAGTAGTGTTTATTTGTACAATTCCAAGTGCCAAAAATTTGTTAAAAGACCACTGAGCATTGCTCTTTCACATGAGAGGGGAAAGAAATCAGATAATATGACGGCTGGTCTAGGGACTATGGGAGATTTGAAATTATAAGACATTATCATTATCAGGCCTTAAGAGGGGGGAAATACAATAAAAAAACATATAATATCTAGTTAAGAGTTCAAGAAAGTTCAAAGAAACTTTTACTTAAAAGTTCAAGAAAATAAAAGAAAGATCCAGAAAATAAACAAGGAATTGCTAAATGAATGGTATAATGATTCAGAGGCCAAGGTTCCCTGTCAGCAGGTCTCTGGCAGTGGAGGTAAAGTTTATTTTTCTTCCTGGTATTGGTCACACTCTCCTCTACCAGCCCTCAGCCATGAAGACATCTGAGGACCCAGAGCAGCAAGCGCAGTCCTGAATCACCGTATGACCCATATATCAGGGCTGTTGACCTTACTTATGTTGTGCAAGAGGAAAAGAAAAGTTCTGCTTGACTCCTCATGTCTGTAATGCTCGTATAAGTCATTTGATCTCGATTTTTCTCATTGTTTAAAATTGAATTTTATAAAACAAGAATACCTTTTTGTACTTTCGATTTATTTTTTAAAAATCATCTAACCTTGGTTTAATCCCCATATGGAAATTAATTGTATAGATTCATTCCCAGAGTTACCCAAATTATACATACTAATAGATGAGGGATATAGATAGAGAAATCTCCAAAAAAAATGGTTACTTTGGCCTTGGAATCAAACCAGTGCTCAATCTGGCTCCAGGTCTTACTCACTGTGGGATTTTAGGCAAGTTCCCTTACCTCCCTAAGCCAAAGGCTCGATATCCATGAAAAGGGGACAGTAATCGCACTTGCACGATGATCTCTGTGAGGGGTAATTGAGACAATGCATGTAAACTGTTGAACGCAGTGCTCCATGATGCCAACTGTGGTATGGCAGAACTGCCTCAGTAACTGCCTTTGAATTCTTAACCCTTCAAACTGAGTCACCCTGTGAAAAGCTGCCTCAACGAAGCAGGAACTTTGTCCAGATTTCCCTTCCTATTCTGCTTCTGCCTCTTACTGCAGAGGAGTCTTCTGCCTCTTACTTAGAGGGGCATTTCCCCTCTAACATGGATGACAGTCATGAGGCTGCCTCAGCTCTGCTTCCTCGAGCACTTCTCCTCTCTGATGTGCTCGCTCTCTCTCAACAAGCGTGGTCCCTGAAAGCCAATGAAATACTAACTATTTTGAGTTAAAACACTTTTCCTGAGGAGTTTGTCTAAGTGTAATGAGTGGTTTTCGAATCCCTCAGTTGCAATGGGCTGTGGCCACAGGTGAAAGGAGTAAACAGACTGAAAGAGAGCAGACGAGAACTGCCTGGCTGTGGTCTGGG